TAAGAGTAATATTTTTAACAATAGATAATAATCTACCAGTTTAAGACTATAATTTTTCATGAATGTGCTTTACTTAAGGAAAAAAAGACTATAAATTTCCTTCTCTCAGGGTTAATTATATGACTAGGCATCAGTATGTTGAAGATTGCTTTCTTTTATGAGTTCCTTCTACCTCATGCCAGTGTTTAAAAATAAAATACACTTTTTTTTTTGAGACAGAGTCTCACTTTGTCACCCTCTGTAAAGTGCTATGGCGTCATAGCTCACAGGAACCTCAAACTCTTGGGCTCAAGTGATTCTCTTGCCCTCAGTCTCCCTAGTATCTGAGACTACAGGCACGCACCAGAGTGGCTGGCTATTTTTAGAGATGGGGTCTCACTCTTGGACAGGTTGGTCTCGAACCCGCCTCAGCCTCCCAGAGTGCTAGGATTATAGGTGTGAGCCCCCACAGCCGGCCTTAAAATGCACTTTAAGTGAAAACAATAAATAAAATGGACAAATCAATTGCAGTAGGTCCTTACAATGAAATACTATACAACAATTAAGAATGAAAAAACTGGCGGTGCCCGTGGTTCAGTGACTAGGGTGCCAGCCACATATACTGAGGCTGGCGGGTTTGAACGTGGCCTAGGCCAGCTAAAGCAACAATGTCAATTGCAACCAAAAACCAAAAGAAAATAGCCAGGCATTGTGGCGGGCACTTTCAGTCCCAGCTACCTGGGAGGCTGAGGCAAGAGAATTACTTAAGCCCAAGAGTTTGAGGTTGCTGTGAGCAGTGACATCACAGCACTCTACCCAGGGTGACAGCTTACGGCTTGAGACTCTGTCTCAAAAAAAAAGAATGAACAAACTATAATAAATGAAACAATAGGGAAGAATCTCCCAACCGTAACATTGAGCAAAAGAAGCCAGACACAACAGAGACTATGTGGTTTGTTTCCATTAAAAGTATAAATTAGACTTTGCACATAAAGTAAACAAATAGGCAAAACTAGTCTATGATGCCGAAAGTCAGAATAGTGCTTAAACGTAGGGAGGCTGTGATTGAAAGGAGACATAAAACTGTTTTGAATACTGGTAATATTTTGGTTCTTTATCTGGATGATGGTTATATGGGTGTATTCATTTTGTGAAAATTCCTTAAGGAGCATGTTTATATATGTTTTTCTGTATGTATGCTATGCTTTATGAAAAATTGCACTGAAAAGCAAAAAATGGTGCCAGCTAAACTATGCTATGCTTTATCAAAAATTGCACTGAAAAGCAAACAATGGTGCTAGCTAAACTATGACATATAGCCAATTATGGGACATATCACTAATGTAAAAATATAAAAAATTATGCTTATGGCTCGGCGCCTGTAGCTTAAGCGGCTAAGGTGCCAGCCACATACACCTGAGCTGGTGGTTCAAATTCTGCCCAGGCCACCAAACAACAATTACAGCTGCAACCAAAACATAGCTGGGTGTTGTGGCAGGTGCCTGTAGTCCTAGCTACTTGGGAGGCTGAGGCAGGAGAATAGGTTAAGCCTAAGAGTTGGAGGTTGCTGTGAGCTGTGATGCCATGGCACTCTACCGAGGGCAACAACTTGAAGCTCTGTCTCAAAAAAAAAAAAAAATTATGCTTATGGTCAATGTAATATGGTATAAATCAGGATAAATAAATTAATTTTG